TTTTGGCGTGGTAACGAAGTTCCATTCATCAGTTCTCTATGATTATATTGCTTCCTGCATAAAAAGACTTTTCTGCTTTCTCCTAGAAGTTTTAATATTTTAACTTAAGTCCTGTTATATGTGAATTCTTTCCTTTTTTAAACATTTTTAATTAATTATATTTATTAATTTTGTTTATATGGTTCTTATGAATCGAACCCACATACATGCTAGTTCTACCACCAAGCCACATTCCCAGCTCAAGGCCTGTTGTATGTGATTTCTGAGTTTCTTAAAGGTAGTAGGTGAAATTTGGCTGAAATAAATAATAGCTTGACAGTTGTGGCTTTACTTGTGGCACTTTCTCCCATTCAGTAGGTTTGGTACTTTTGTTAAAAATGAAGTGCCTTAAAAATGCTGATTATTTCTCTTTATTTATGTTCCAATGAACTATTTGTCTTTCCTTAGGCTTGTACTTCCACCTAACTTGTTATATGTTTACATTAACATTCAATTGTAGAGGCTCTTGCCTTTTCAATATTATTTTAGGTGTTACTGTTTGCAATTAAGTATGAATTTATAATCAGTTTACCATTTCCACCAAAAAAACAAAAACAAAAATGCCATCACCCACTGCTAGTATTATGACTTAGATTTTGTTGAATTTATAGGTGAGATGGAAGAATTCAGATATCTTAGCAACACAGAATTTTCAAATGCACATATGTTATATGTCTCTTCGTTTAGTTGATTTCATTTAAAATGATATTTAGAAGTCCCTATTATTAAATGTATTGTTGAGCAAATGTTATAGTGTTATGTTAATTTTAATTTTACTTTTAATGATTTGTTGCTATTATGGTGAGGGTTACATTTCTACATCCACTGTATACACCGCCACTTTGCTAAATTCCTTCATTATTTCTAGTAGCATTTTATAGCTCTCTCAGAATTGCCCATGTACAGAGTCATCCTCTCTGAATATGGACAGATTTATCTCATTTCATCCTTTTGGAATATTTTTATGCTTTTACTTATTTTCCATGTTAGGGCTTCCAGTGTGCAATGTACCTTCTTGCCTTTAGTCTCAATTTAGAAGGAAACCCGTTAGAATTTTTACCATTAAGTACAAAGTTACCTATAGATATTTGTATCTGAAAAAAAATCAGTCATTTCACAGAATGTAAGCATAATCCATTTTTTGGAGGACAATGTAGGATAGGGCCACATCTGTGCCTATCTCTCTGTTGCTGTGTATTAAAAAATAGCAGAATGTGTATCATTCACTCAGATATTCACATTAACACTTATTTCTCAGATAATATAATCTTTCCATTTTAAATGAAAAGAACACAAATTTTATAAATTGGCACTATTGACCTTTGTGTCCAAATAGTTTTTTTGTTTTTGCTCTGTGTGTGTGTGTGTGTGTGTGTGTGTGTGTGAGAGAGAGAGAGAGAGAGAGAGAGAGAGATGGGGTGTTGCTGTCTTCTGCTTTTCAGGCATATACTTAGTAGATAACAGCAGCAATCCCTCCACCACTTCCCTAGCAGTAACAAGAATATCTCCAGATGTACTAGAGGGAAGGAGATAGATCATTCCCAGCTGAGATCTGCTGGCCTGAACCTTCTTCCATGGGTATGCTGATGACATCAACTTGAGAAAAGATGTGAATAGCTTTCCCCCGTGTTTACTCATTCTTACAGTTAAGGTCTCTGTACATTGCAGATTTCTCAGACAGTAAGACCATATTTTCTTCTCTTTGATCCTGTTGTTGAACAAGTGATCATAAAATATATGTCTGTGACGTGTTAAAAATCTTCTTCAGCCTTGCTTTTCACAGTAAATCATAACTTAAGCATCTTAATCAGGAATGCATTAATCATGTCTTTCTGTACATCATTTGCATTTTTGGCAATTATCGACTAATGAGCATACCCTTTATGTGATATTTTAATTCACTTACACCTTGATAAATATTTCAGCTTTGTGATAATTAAGTAAATTGAACAGTATTAATTAGAAATGCAATCAAATGATATAGCTAAAAAATTTCCAGACATTTTCATGTTTTTTAAAAAAAATATAATTTAAGTAGAATTCTTCATAAAGATTTCTTTCCTCCAAAGCAATCCATACCTAAATAAAACTTAGTGGATTATTTTGATTGCAGAGGTCTAAATTCATATGATTTTATACATAGTGTAGGTTTGCTAGACTTTGATTTTGTTTGTCTTTACAGAAAAGCAGAGAGAAAAACGCATCTGATAGAATCATATATAATGTATCTCATTGCAAAACTATAGCTATAAAAAATCTTGAAGATAGCATCAAATTTGAGTGGTAAATATGCTGCAGAAATATTGCTAAGAAGTGAAATATTATGAAAAGACCTAAAACTTCATATATGTATATATATAATGCATCCTTATTATTTTCCTAGTATCTAACAATAAAAAAGTCATAGCTTTTATCCAGAAAATACATGTTTATAATAGGAAATAATTATTTTGTATTTTTGTTAGTTCATTTATTAGTCCATTTATTATGTGAAAAAATTCAATGCTGAAATACAAATGGGTATGACAGAGAACATCTTTGAAGAGAGCCACAGTAATTTCAAATGTAAAATCAATTGTTAGCTATAGTTAATATTGACTTATGGGTTAAAATTGCTCTTTATAAGTCACAGACAGACCAGATTTTTTCCAACAAAGTAAATACCTCTTGTTTCCATTTCCTGAAGTTCATTTCAATGAATTTTTTATGGGGGGGGTCCGGTTATGGGGCCTGAACTCTGGGCCTGGGCACTGTCCCTCAGCTCTTCAGCTCAAGGATAGCGCTCTACCACTTGAGCCACAGTGCCACTTCCGGCTTTTTTCTTTTTTGCTTATATGGTGCTGAGGAATCGAACCCAGGGCCTCAGGCATGCAAGGCAAGTGCTCTACCACTGAGCCACCTTCCAAGCCCCAATGAATATTATTTTATATGATCAGATGCATGTAGATATTGTGCCTCTGTGTTCCTCTCCTAAGGATATTCTCCTTTGGTCTCACTGTTTTAGAATGCCTAGATATGACCAGTTTCAAGGTAGGGAAATCAACTTAAGGGACATTACAATAAAAATATTAAAAGTTGCAACGTTTTATATAATTCCTCTGGCTTTCAATAAACACTCATATGCTTAACTTTTGGTTTCACTTTTTGACTTGATATTGGTAATTTTTAATTGCATTTAACGTTTATTATGGTTTACGAGACAAAAATCAGTTTCGGTTATCAAAACGTGGAATTACCTTTGAAATGAATGTCTAAAAGTGCCAATATAATACCGAATGCACATTCAAAGTACATAATAATTTTAATCATTTATTGAGGACAATTTAAGCATCTTCCTCCTCCATTAAAAAGTTATTTGACAAGGCAAACGAAAATGCTGTAGAGATGTGAATAATCTGATTAGCCATTGGGTGTATTCAGTGTTTCTTGATATCAGTTGAAGTGAAATTAAATTAGTCACTGGTGCATTCATCAGTTGGAGCCAGAAAGTCTACCCTATTTAGTTTTTAAATGATTTATCCTGACTAAATTATGACAGTAGCCACTAAAGAAATCATATTACTTCAGAATTAGCAAGATCTATTTCTTTTAGAGTAGGAAGATAATCACTGCTGATTAAAATATAGTATAGGATGAACATTTTTAAAATCATGTCAAAACTACAGTTGTACAAGATCATCTTAAGAAAGAAATAAAGACACTCAGTTTTTTGCAAAAAAATATTTGCAAGGAAAATCAGTCAAGTAAAACTAAACTAAATAATAAATAATAATTCATATTTCATAATACCATTGATAGTTTTAATTCCAACTCATTTTTATGAATATTTATTATTTTGTTCATGGTAACTAGTATGCTGAGAAAAATTACCTGGTTGACTCTTACACTTTTCTGGAAATGAGATGCAAACATTGAGAAGCTATCCCAAATATGCCACATTTAGAAAATAGCATCACAAGATCTAAATTAAGGAATCAATCTTTTTGTTCTCTACCATTCCTTTCTCTTTTCCATAGCACATGCAATATAGTCATAAAGGTAATATTGTCACTCCCTCCATCATTGCTATGTTGGCTACTTTTAAGCACTGAAGTGAATCATGATTTTTTTCTTAAAATAAGTAAAATAATCTTTAGGTTTGTGGAAACAGTTTTGTGATATAATATCATATCATGCCTGAACAGCTGTTCCAAGGTGAGGCCTAGAAAGAAGTAAGTTCAAAAACATTTGCACATGAAGAAGAAAACACAATGTATGTTCTTTATGTATGTATGTGTAAAAGGAAATTATGTATGTTTAGTGTATCATAAGTATGAAGTCAGTTAAGGGTTATATATTTTATATAAGTACATAAATTTACTCTTAGCATATTTTGGCTTTGGGTATATTTTGGTGTATTTACAGGAATTACAAGTAAATGTAGAAGCATTTCATAAAGATGTCAATTCATACATATGTATTTGGCAATCATTAGTCTAATATGTGCTAGATCATTGAGTGATGTTTAAGTCCTTAGCTAAACACTAAAGGACAAATTCTCTGGGATCAAAACTTAGATTTCAGTAAGAGAGATAAGATATACTCAAATAACTAGTAAGCAATGTTTTAAATGGAGCTCAAGAGGTCTACCGCCAAACTCTGATAACTCTTTTTCGATTTCATACGAGCATATGGTTCACACAGCTGAGCTGACAAAAAGCATGGGCCACTTTTGAGACTACTGGATTCCTCAGTGATACCTCACCAAAATTGCACCCAAAGTTACCATCTTCCTGTTTTAACCATGGAACAATCAATAATACATTGGTGTACAAATTTTTACCCTTAACATTGGAGATACACTTTCTGCTAGAATTCCAAGTTCCATGCATGGCAGCTTATTTTTGTTTGTCTATATTCCTTGACTTTCTACTGATATAACTCAATGTACTTGAATTAATATATTTTCCCTTTTTATACAGTGCAAACTAGAATACCAGGCATGTGTCTTAGGAAAACAGATTTCTGTGAAATGTGAAGGACGGTGCCCATGTCCCTCAGATAAGTCCACCAGTTCAAGCAGAAATGTTAAGAGAGGTAAGTAGCGGAAACTCATTCATACTTGTCTACTTCTCCAGACTCTTAAATTGTTTTACAACAAAATGTATTCTTATACATATACTGCAGTAATGATATTGTGAGAACTCTTCTCCTTTTAACTTTAGTTACCATAGCAAATAATTTTTTTGCCATCTTAGGAAATTCCCAAACAAAATAGAAGCCTACAGAAAACTGTTCTTTACTGTTTACTTAACTTATGCAATACATCAATGATCATTGTGCCTTGTGTATGTTTTTAATCTCTTGTTTCATTTGATCAAGGAAATAGCTAGTCAAAGAATACATTGATCGGATCTGATATTATTACTGGTTTTTGGTATGAGGTGTTTTTGTTGAGGTTGCTGTTGTTGCTGTTGTGTTTTGGGCTGGTCCTGGAGCTTGATTTAGGGGCTGATTCTATCCCTGAGCTTTGGGCTCAAAGCTAGTGGTCTACCAGTTGAGGCTGGCTTTTTGGTAGCTATGGAAATTAGAGTCTCAAAGAGTTGGCTTTCCAGGCTGGCTTCTAACCTCAGGCCTCAGATCCAGCTTCCTGAGTAGCTAGGATTACAGATAGGAGCAACCTGCACCCAGCTGTTAATGTTTTAAATGAAAAGATATCATGTAAAGTTTGTGTGTGAAATTTTTTGGGATAATTTTTTAAAGTCCACACTATTTTATTTTATAATAGAGTAAGTATAACATGCTATGTATTACAGGGCATATTATTACCTTTTTTTAGATTACCTACTCTAGTCTATCTACATGATATTATTTTCATATCTTATATATATTTTGTTTATAAGCTTTGAAATTCTCATAGTTGCTAATTTTCTGGTTGCTCATCCTACAAACTTCTAGAGAATATATGCTACTTTTAGCTAAAAGTTATTTTACATAACACTTTCACTAACATTTGTCATATACTTTATAATTATCTGACCCCTTAATTAAAGGTAGAGAATCGATTTTTGCCTTTTTCCCCTGAAAAATGTGACTAATGGATACAAATTCTGTAGTTTCTATGAAAATTACTTAATATAAACTAAACATTGTGAACATGCTGTGCTATATAGCTTTTTGCAGTTGTGACCATGTATAGGTGATAATGTATTTGTACAGAGGAAGAGTTTTTAAAGGCTCATAGCTTAAGAAATCACCCATTGTTCATGTCAACTTACTGTTTGGGGCCTGTTGATGGCACATGATGGAAGCTGCTGGACTCACAGAGACCAGGAAGAAAACACAGGAAGCAACAGGACCCCAATATTTTCTTTGAGGGTATGATTCCAGAGATCAAACTTTCTTCCTCCAGATTATACTTCCTAAAGCTTCTATCACCTCCCTAACATGCCAGAAAATAGAGACCCGTCCTTCTAACTATGAGGGGAATATTCAAGATCCAAGCAAAGGATTTTGTTGCTGGTCTGCGCTCTAATGAATATGTTCTTACAAACACAATTTCCAAACATTGTGTCCCTTATGTTTGATTTTACTCAGTTAGGTCATACTTAGTGTAAACGTCAAGATAAAGTAGTGCTATAGATTGTCTATGATAAAGCAGGTAGCCAGTTTTGTTGTTCAAATGTAAATTAATTGATTGGAAAATGCATGGTCAATTTGTGTATGATATTAGGGTGTGTGCAGAATGATACTGAAGGTGGAAAAGTGTTGATTTGTTGACCGGTAGGTAGCCTGATTCTTTAAGCTTCAACTCTGCAGCCTCATATTAGCTTAGAATCAGCTTCAGTGCTCAGTTAATTCCATAGTCCTCTCTGCTCTCTCCCAATCTGCTTTCTCCAATTTAGCCAAAATAAGAATATTCGACACCACTTTAACTATGTCCATCATTCCTCAAATAAGAACTGCAGCTTCATATCAGCTGGCATTCTTGATAGTCGTGCTTACCTGAAACCCACTCCCAAATGAATACATTTTCTCAACTGAATTGGAGATACAATTCAATGCATTTAACTGTGAAAGGCACTTCAGGCATAATATAAATCCTTCTGAATTCAATATCTATGTCTCATTCTTTTCTCTGGAGGCTCTTAAGGACATTTGAGAAGTAGGCATAAGTGTATAAATCTAATACATCATAGCCCTTCAACAAGATTTGTCTTCAATAAGTATTTCCTGCTTTTAGACTTACTTTTGAATGAAGAGATAGGTTCGATGTGTGAATTCATCTTAATCTTGAACAGACTGTGAAAGGAATTCAATCCGCATCAAATATGGAAGATAACACAACTGAGAAAAGCACCCCTTGTGAATAAACAATAATTATGTTTTACATTGCTTATGTTTTCTATAGAGTATTTATATTAAATATGCCAAGAAGGCAACTTAAGGTCCAATCACCAGGGGATAAAGATCTGTTATGTCCAATTGTGCATACAAAGAGAATCAGGAATTTTAACTAATCTTATTCTAACAGATTGTCAGAGCAAAGTAAGTACAGGATTTTGTTAGCTTCTCTGGAAAAGCTGTACAGAAAAATATTGAATGTCATTTCTGCACAGTGCCAAAGGCCGAGAGACATGGGAAATGTAAAAGTGAATTCAATACCATTTTTAATCTTTTAACTGGCATTTACAGTGGAAGCATGTCTTAGGTAGACAATGCAGTCTGGGGAATTATATTTCATATCATCTCTGTTATAGAAGGAACATAGTAGAATGACTGTCACTGAAATAGTTCTTAAATACTTCTGGCTTCCTCCTCTTGAAGGCAAATTGATACTATTTTATGTTTTCATTTTATTAATGAATCTTTTCAGTCTACTTGAACTACATTAAAATGAGTGAAAATGTTTTCCTTATAGAATAGGAGAAATTAAAGTTCTTTTTGATGATTTTAATGTATTTTATAATTGGGTAAATTAATGCAATTGGGTATCTTAGGTTTAGATTCTGACTTTAGACTCAAATAGGTAGACATACTCTACTTCAATAAGTAAGTTTTAATTTGTATACTCTTTCGTTCAGCTTCCTTTCATTTATCCAAGTGTTTATGATCACCAAATAGTATCATTCAATCAAAGGGAAATATGGAAGCTAAATCTACTTTAGTCAAATAATTTTAACATCTCATCTGATTTTTAAAATTCCTCATATTTTTATATTGCAAGAAAATATAAAAATTGTTGTGTTAAACATGGACCGTAAATAGATCATTTTCCAGTGATTTTTACACAAACATACAAAATGCAACACGATATCTTAGAAAGGACTTACGTAAAACTTTAGGAAGTATTTTTTGTAGTTGATAAGTTAAAATCCAAAAGTACTGCCCTAGACTTAAGTTATATTACAGCTATATAATTTGGGATGTGCATAACTCGGATTGTTTAACTCAAACAAGAACCATGTTTGCAATTTACATTTCAAAAAATCAACAGCAATGATTCATTAGCAAAGTAATTCTGTTACCTATGCATATCAAACATTGGTAATTTATTTGATGTCAGGTTCCGTTTAGGAGATTATGTTAATTGACATCATTGTTCATTGATAGAATTACCCAATCAAGATAAATTGAAATGCTTCCAGATAAATGAGGAGCCAAAAACATAGTTTTATAAAGTCTTCAGTTGTCATGGTATTTTCTGAACTGGAAACACTCAAAAGAAGAAAGTAGAGTAAGTCAAAGCTAACTTCAAAAAATATATAATTCAAATTTGAAGAATACATTTTCAGAAAAAATAACATTTTTAGTCTTCTCCAGTCTCTCTTTGCTGGCATTGTTTGTGATAAGAAGTCTGCTGTTACTGTTATTCCTTTTTCTTGTAGGCAGGACCTCCCACCCAGCTTTCTTTAAATTTTTTGATTTTCTAGAATTTGACAAAGTATTTGTATAGATTTTTGTTTTGTTTTATTTTGCGATTTTATTCTCTGGGTATCTTAAATTTATGATAATGAGTCTGTCATTAGTTTTGTAAAGTCCTTAACCATTATTTCCTCAAATATTTTTGTTCTCTATTTATTGCTTTGTTTTTCTTGTTTTTTTCTGTGCATTTTAATTTGAGATGTTTCTGTGGACCTGTTTTAAAATGCTCTAAATTTTTTACACTAATGGCATTATTAAAGCCTTTCTTTCTTTCAACTAGCATATGAATTTCTATTGCTTTTCTTTGTTTTATCCTTTAAATTTCTACTGATATTGTGCTTTCTCTTTTGTGTAAAATCATTTGACATGTTAATCAAAGTTATTTTAAAGTCTATAATTTTCAGCATACTTGACATATGTACAAATGGTTCTAATGGTGACCTGAGCTATGGTCACATGGCTATATCTTTTTGTTGGGAGATAAGGAGGTTGTATAGGATAGTTAGTACAAATATATTCTAAATAAGCCTCTGGTGTAATTTACAGGATATTTGCTATTCCAACTACGACTGGATTATGTCCTCTATCTACCGTAAATATATCCATCAGGGGCTTCATATTCCTACTATTGTATCAACTTCATCCTCCCCTGCTTTTGAGGTTTCTCTTTGTGCTACTTAACTGGGAAAGTTTATCTTGCCTCTTTTTTCTGTTTTTATCTGACAGGATGCAGGCAGGGATATGTGGAAATGGGACATTTTCTAGTTTCCAAATTCTGTCTTGATCTTTCAATGGACAGCACAGAAGAGTGTCTTTCTAAGAATCTTTGTTTTTTTTTTTCTCCAGACAGAGTGATCTTTAAAATTTACTTTCTTAAAATTTTCTTACTTTGTTCTCTAAGTGGTATTTTATGCCAATTATAACTTGTATTTATTTGTTGGTGATAGGTGGTCAGGTTTTGCACTGGTTTTTCACTTTCTTCAGATTTGTTATTATTTTATTTTGTAGAAGGACCTGCACGACTTAATTTCTTTACATCTTGGAACTGAAACCAGAAGCCCCCATAAACACTTTTAAACTACATATTATCCAAAAATATTAAATGTATCAGTAGTTACTACTGTTGGACTTACAAGAATATGACAACGCTGAACACTTTTCTCTTGAATAAG